TCGACCTCCTTCCCTCCTGGATGTGGGAGTCTCCTCTCGCTCCTCCCGCAGCACCACTGGCCTGAGAAGGAGCACTGGGCAAAGACAGGTCAGGTCAGATGCTGGGTGAGCCATGACACATTCACAGGCAGTGTTCCCTGCTGGTTAGAGGTGTCTGGCCTGGGTGGTGTGATATTACAGAAATAGTCATTGGTGTTCATCTGGAATGACCTGCATAACTGGCCTGTGTCTCCAGCACTTGCCAGCTCATCCCACACATATCCTGATTTCAAACCATCCAATTCCTTCTCTCCTGGTAGAAAATCTCTTGGAGAGAAGTCCATGCTCTAACAGCACTCTGGGACTGACCACAGCAGCTTCTTGAAGAAACATGTTCATTTGTGCATGCACTTCAAATCTTAGGCAGATCTCTCTCTGGGCTGGCAGGCAGGGTGTTGTGTGGATGGCAGGCTGTTGTGTGGATGGCAGGGTGTTGTGTGGATGGCAGGGAGAAGCCACAGGGCCAGCAGCCTGCCGGAGGTGCCAGGGATGTCTGTACACTCTGGAGCTGTGGGACACAGGGAGAGGCAGCAGCTCAGGGCTGCATTTCTGGTCTATGCTTTGCTTTCCACACACAGCCCTTGCTCAGTTCAGGAGCTGTTCATCTGGCAGCATGCTGGTGATGTTTCCAGGTGGTATTTGTTCTTACTGGTGTTTTCCTAACAGCATTCCTGCTGGTCACAGGCAGCAGGGCCTCTCCCTATCATCCATCTGCTGCCCTGGGGCAGCACCAGTGCCTGGGCAGTGTTTGTCTAGAATCTCCTGAAAAACCGTGCCCCTTATGCAATGGCGCTGTTGGAGGACTTGCCATGTGTTTTCCTTCTGTCCCACCATCTGTATCTTTTGTCTGCTGAGGCTCTTTTGCATCCAGGACTGTCCTTTCATCCCATGTCTGCGCAGCGCCCAGCACAGCAGGGACCTGGCTCCCGTGGCCAGGGTTCCTGGGCACTGCTGATAAAAAAGGTTAATGTTTGCAAAGTGTGGCTTAAAATTTTCCACTGTTCTCCTCAACTGCCATAATGATCTCATCCTGCATTGCCATGGGATACACTGTGTGCTCGCATCTTTTGGAGCACAGCTTGGGAAGGACCTCAGTCAAGAAAACAGCCAAGATTCTGGTGTTTTGGGCAATTTTCAAACTTTGCTGTCGGTACTTAACAGCTGAAGCAGCAGGAGAAATAGACAATTTCCTGCCATATGCTACAAAAATACTCCTATCTTTCAATAGGCCCCAGCAGAGAAGTTTCCTTGGGAATAACCAATAAAACTGTGTTTTTTATCTTGCTGCCATCTTGAGCTCTGACACCTTGGCACTGGGGAGAAATCTGGCTTCCCTCATGGCAGAGATGTGGTGCCCACAGCTGGAGCAGGGATGGAGCTCTTCCCTCTCGTGCAGGTCATCACTCTTTGCTCAGCTCCTCGGGGCAGCAGGAGGCTGGAGCCTGGCTGCTGCAGTAGATGTGGTGTTCTTCTCCCCTGGCAGCAAGGAGGGGCCAGAGGAGGAGAACATGGATAGGGACAGGGCCATGTACACAGCTCTGCTTTGCTCTGCACGTTGGCCAAGGATTAACTGTAGCCAGGTGCTGCAGGAAAGGGGAAAGTCTCAACTTCAGCACAGTTTGAAAGAGCTGCAGGAGGAGAACAAAGCTTGTAAGATCAGTACTGTTGTGTATGGAATGTGAGTGTGCAAACACTGCTGGTGCTGGGGTGAGGGGTCCTGCCCGTCCTCAGCACCGTGGGGGCTCGGGTGCTGGGCTGGAACCTCCAGCCAGGTTTCTCTGAAGTGCCCTTTAACTGTTTTCTCTGTATTCCTGTGACTTCGGTTAGACTGTATAGACACTAAATTAAGGCTGATATTTATAGCCATTCCTGCTGTGTGATGTTGATGCCTTCATGAGTCACAGGCTCAGCCTCTCGCTCCCACCCCGGGCTGAGGAGGGTGTGGGTGACCATCACTATCTCTCTCTGGGGATCTCTTGTGCCTGCACTCCTATGTGCACAGAAATCATCCAGGGATTGATGTGGCTTTTCCCGATTGCCAGGCCTGCTTCCCTGGCTCTCCAAGGCTAGGATGAGACAGAGTTGTGCTCTTTAGCAGTGCTTCAGGTGTCCTGGAAACTTCTGCCTGTATATCCAGGAACTTGAGCACCTTAGGTGGGGTTGCTCCCAACTGCCTCCCCAAATGAAGTTTCTGAAGTGAGCAATTCCAGGCCAGAGGAAGAAGTGCAGTGCTTCAGGTGTTTGTAGTTGCAGTCCATGGACCTGCTAGAGGCATCCAACAGCCCCCAGAGTAAAGTAGCACCTGTTGCCATTCCACTGTGGTAACCTGCAGATCAGCTTCCTGCCAGAGGCTCCCCCGAGGTCAGGAAGGCTGCAAATGCCCTGGGTCCTGCTGGCCAGAGGGAGCAGGTCCTGGGCATGTGGTAGGTTTTAAAGGGTGGGATGGAGGAGCTTCCATTGTGGCCCAGCAGACTTGAGGGTAGCTGAGATGTCACTGGTGTCTCGTGGCCTTGGTTCCTCCTGAGCATGGAGCCAGCAAGACCTGGAAGGAGCTTTCTGCAGCAGCCACCTCTGTCCAAGGCACCCCATCTACTCCCCTTGTGGGACAAAGGACTGTGGTCCTAGGGCTGGGATCCTGAGGCACCGATGTGCTGCTTCAGTGACGATGGACCCTCCTCCTCTCTGTGTGGTGCCTTTCTCAGTGTAATGAGCAGGAGGCACGTCTGTTTCCACTGCATAAATGAAGGTGGTGATGGCTTGTGTCATGTCCTTGTCTGTAGCTGGTGATGCCTCCAGGGGGCAGGGAGGGGTGTCTGGCATGTGGCTGCCCTTTGGCACACACAGCCTAAGCTAGCTGGATGCTCCAAGATTGTCTTCATTTACTAGTCATGATAACATGCCTTCAGCAAATTCCTTCTCTAACCCTTCTCACAATTACCTGTGTTGTTTGGACTTCCTGTGCAAACAGTCCTGTGACCTTGCAGGGTAGCACATGGTGTTTAGGAAGCTCATCCACATGGCCATCTGATAGTAGGGAGAGAGAAGCAGGCTAGGGTGGACACTGAAGCCAGGATGACTGGCCAAACAGGACACAGTTCCAGAGGCTGAGGAAATCTGAGCTGGCTGCAGTGAAGCTGCTGGAATTTCCATGGTGATCAGTGTTGTCCAGTTGAGCTCTGGATCTCCAGCCTTTTGGATGCTCCATCCTGGATACAAGCAAACATGTGGGAATGGGACTCTGGGAGGGGGCAGCTGCTTCTGCTCCAGCTGGGTGATGTGGGCTGGGTGCTGCTGGCACTGTGTCCTTCAGCATTCCCAGGGAGCTGTCTCGGTACCAGTGTCACGTGTGGTGCTGATGTCTGTGTGACTCCTTGGCTGATTAGTACCTCAGGGGAAAATTGCCTGTATCACAAGGATGACTCTGGATCCCTGGAGCACTGGATTGGATGAAAAGGAAACATGAGAAGGTGCATCTTCAGTTATAAAAACCAAAACAAATATGCCTGAATTTTTCATGTAATCCAAATAATCTTGCTCTGTGTTACTCGCCTATGGAGTCCTACAGGATAAAAGGTCTAACAATTCCTAGCAGAGCAGTATTTTCCTCTCAGAGGATGTAGAAATGGTGCTCCAAACTTTCTATGATAAGGTGATTTTTGTAGTCTTGTGGCTTTTAAAGAAACTCCAGTTTCTTTCCAAAGTCATATCATGCCAAATTCAACATAGAAGCAATAGGGTTTTATTGAGTGCTCAGAGGAGAAATTTTCAGTGTTTCTGAGGAGAAAACACTCAAACACATGCATTTATCCTGCCCTCCATTACCCTGGTGGGCTGTGAGAAACTGGGGCTGTGTAAGCTGATGAGGGGAGCCGGGCTGGAGCTGGTGCTGTGCGGAGTGTGGCAGGATGATCCCGTGACAGATCCTGCGATACCCAGACCTCTTTTCTAGGCAGTGCTTAGTCACTGACCTTCACCCTTTGGCTTACTTTCTGTGCATTTCAGACGGGCCTTTGTAGGCTGTGAAGCATTTCCCAGAGTAGTGGCAGTTCCAGGAGGAGCTCAGGTCTGTAGTGTCCCAGGAAGAGCACGCACAGAGTCCCTCCTGCCTGGCTCTGGTACTGCTTCTTCCACTGCTTTCTGCTGGCTTGGGTTGTGGAAAGCAGAGAGCCCTCTGGTAAAGCAGTGAGGGGTATGGGAATTCTCCTGTAAACTGGAGGAGTGCACAAGCTTTGTGTGTTGCCTTTTGTGTGTGTCGATAAACATAAACTCTAGAGGAAAATGGAATAGAAATAGAAAGTGTGAGAACAGCTGCAGGAAGAATCTTTCTGTACATGGGTCATCTCCTTGCTTAAGGTTTTCTTCCTGTGTCCAGGCCTAAAAATACCTTCTCTCAGGCCAAGAACTGTTGTAGCTACTCAGTAGATCTGTGCTAGGGAAGGAGTCCTCCTTGGCGAGGTGCAGCTCTTGTGGAACCAGGCAGTGTGCCAGAGAGTGCTTGGAAGTGCGCAACAGGCAGAGGGAAATGGCTAAAACCCATCCCCAGCTGGAGAATTGTCTCCCTGGGGGAAGCATCCAGGAGACACAAAGAGCATGAATTTGCAGAGCACAGCCCCCGAAGCTGTGCTGCTTCCCTGTACCCATTGCCAGGACCTGCATTTGCTTAGGATGGATTTAAGTTAGTTTTGTTATCTTTATGGTCTCCTTTCACTCTCCTGATTTCCAGGCGTGCTGCCCAGTTTTACCAGGCAGAGTGGGATGTCCCAGCCTGGGGGGATGGCTGGGGCAGTAGGAAGCCATGAAGGGCTGGTCAGTGAAGCTGACATCTGGCAGGCCGTGCTCAGGAAGGGCCTGGTGAGCAGAGTATGCATTCCTTGGGAAATGTCCCTCTCTATGGGTCAGGCTGTGGCTTGCAGGGTGGGTACCTCAGTTCTGCTTGCCCTACCACACACAGGTGTTTCTAACTTCATTTCTTTACTTCTTTCTCTCAAGCGGATCGTTGTAAAGAAGTGCAGCAGATCCGAGAGCAGCATCCAAACAAAATCCCGGTAAGTGATTGTTCTCACTCTTCTGTGTCAGACTTTGTTCTCAGGACCCCTCTGTGCTCCTGGGTGTCCTCCATGGAGCTTGCAAAACTTTGCTTCCTGGAATCAACACAGGATGGTCCCCATGAGCCTCCGGTGCCTTGTGTGTGCTCAAGAGCAGATGTGTTCTCTGCACTGCAAAGGACAGTCTGTCTCTGAAACTCCAGGGGACTGATTTGATCTCAAATCTATTTCCAAGCTAGTGCAGCAGGAGAAAACTCTGAAATGGCTTGCTTTTTTTTTTTTTTTGGTTGTAGTAGCTACCTGATTTTTCCTGGATAACCTGGTAAGGATTTCTCTCTGCCTAGAGAAAGATGTGTGGGCTGATCTTTGCTGCATTGAAAGCACAGAGTGTGTCTTAGGATCATTCATACCTGTTCTGTGCTTTCCCAGCACCTGTAGTTGACAGGCACAGGTGAGACACCATGAAATTGCAGTTCTTCCTGCCCATGTCACACCTGATACTCTGAGTTGCTCTTTGGCTGTGAGTGTGCTTTTGAGTTCCTACCTGAGTATTTGCTTCTCTTCCTGAGAAGATGGAGAACTTAGAAGAACATCCCACCCCTGGAAGTGTTCATGACCACATTGGACAGGTCTAGTGGAAAGTGTCCCTGCTCATCTTTAAGGTCCATTCCGACCCAAACCATTTGATGAAATTATAATTTGATGAAATTATGTACTTAGGGCTTGCTCAACTTTCTATTTGCAATATCACAGCATCTATGACCAAAAAGACAGGATCCTAGTTCAGCTCCCTCTCAGCATTGGATGAACATTAACCTTGTCTTAAAATTGTAGACTATCAGTATTTGGCCTTCAAGACTGAATGTCTTAAACTTCTTTTGGCTCATCTTAGTCCACTCCTGCCTCACTCTTCTTTTGTTTTTAGCACAGTCTTCTAGCCAGAAGAATTCTTTCCCCTCCTCTTCTCCCACCACCACTGTGGTGTTCACATGTTTCCAGCTCAGCAGAGCAGGGCCTGCCCCTCAGAGCACCCTGGGTACCAGTACTCCAGGACATCAACACACTGATTTTGCTTTTAACATGGTTTTAATGGCATTAGGCTGGTTCTGCATTTCTCCAGAGTTGTGAGAGAGCTAATTGCAGGCTCTGGCAGTAAGGCCAGGCTGGAAATAAGGTGTACATAAAATGCACACATGTGCATGTATCAAGTGCCTGCACACAAATGTGTGTTGTTTGGGGAATGGACAGAAGGAGGCAGAGCTGTGCATCCACAGTCAGAGTTTTATGGCATTACTGAGACATGGTGGGAGAGCTCCCATGGCTGGAGTGCTCTTTGTGTTTGGATCAACACCACAATGCCAGTTTTGCTGGAGGGATAAAAAGAATCAGGAGGTGAGAAGGGTTATGAAGGCTTTGTGGGATCCAGCCATGTTTGTGTCACTGGTGTCTCTAAAGGCCTGGTCCCTATTAGATCCCAACACCAGTTTGGTGCTGTCTCTCTTCTCTCCCAAGGCAGAGCTCCTGCAGGTTTCAGTGCTGGGCAGTGATTAGAGCCTCCTGCAGGAGTGTGGTGTGGGCACTGTTTTGAGTCCAAGCACTGCAGGCTCATTTGCTTTAGGAAGGTCTTGTTCATCTGTGAAGGACAGGAGCTGTGTTTTCCAGCTGATTGGCTTCCTTGGAGAGGTGCTTGGAATTATCAGAGGGGTTTGAGCCCAGAGCCCAGGGGCATTAGGGAGAGATCCAAGGTCGCACCCTTACTGCTGACAGAAACCACAGCAAAGCTGTGCAGCACCTGCTGCCCTCCTGCATCTCCAGTTTCCAGCTGGAGTCCTTGGGCTTTTGGAGGGGGAGTCCCTTTTGCTTTGGAGGGGGTCAGGAGGATTTGCAGAGGGCATGGTCTGGCTGTGTGCCCAGGCAAGAGCATGTCTCTCCTCTTGGCATGAGTGTACTTGCAGGGAAAGTGGAGGAAGGGACTGATGTGGAGTTCTTTGCTTGTGTTTCAAGGGAAGTCACAACCCAGGATGCCCCACTGGCACATGTAATAAGGACATAGGCAGGAGCCAGGTCCCCTGTCCACCTCATGCCAGGGGCTCCTCTGCTGTCTCTGCCTTTCCCAGAGCTGCCTGCTCTGGTAGAAAAGTGCTGCTCTAGCTGAGAAGGTGAGGTGGCTGTGTTGGCAGTAGGTGCTGCTGACGCTCAGCTCTTTGGGGAAGAAGTCTCCAGCTGCTCCTCGCAGGGCAGCTCCTCCTTGGGCACTCAGAGCAAGCAGAGAACTTCCAGCCTTTCCACTGGAACCCCCATCCACAGCCTCAATACATGTTTTCAAAATCATCTTCTGTTGGAGGACAGGGAGCCTGTGCCCCCCAGCACTGTCCCTGCCTGCTCTCAGCCCTAGGGATCTTTTGGGAGATGTCTGAACCTCAGAGAATCTGAAATTGCTGGGGAACAGCTTGTCCTGGGCAGCATTGGGGGAAACCATTCCCCAAAGTCCTGCAATGCTAAATTCAGGCAGGCCTGGTGAGCCATGGGCTGTAGAGGGGAGTGAAGGCAGGGCCACCCCTTGTGCTGGGTGGGCTGAGGGGGTATTTGGGCTGTGCAGAGAGGGTTCTCTTGGGTTCATCTGAGCACCCACAGAGGATCATGGAAACGCAATGGCACGTGGGAGATCCCACATAATGCCCTGTCCTGGCACAGTGGTGGATGGAAACCTAAATTATGGACTCAGAGGAAGGGACCCAGAACTTCTCTGGGTTCCTGGGGGGGCTGTTCTGGGGAGTTGCAGATGTAGTGTCCAGCACTGATATGACTCGGGATGGATCAACACCAGAGCATCTTTTTGGCTGAGAAGCTGTGTCTGTTGGTACTAAAGGACCTGTACCCTCCTCTGCCAGAGGGGAACAGGATGAGGCTGGTGCAGTCTGTGCTCACGTGAGTGCTCTGTGTGTCTGTGTCCTGTGGCCGTGGATGTCGGGGAGGTGTTACATACACATATTTGAATACATTCCCAGCCTCACTCCTGGTTAGACCTTGCCTCTGTTGACCACCACATCTGGCCATATTCCCTACCAAACTCCCTTTCAATTTCTCCAGACTGTTCCCAGAACAAAGGTTGTGTTTATAAACACTGTCCAAGCCCCCTTTGCAACGGGACCAGAACTTCAGGCTCTGCCCTGAGCGTCTCCCCTCCCCACCCATGCCCACCCATGATTTCTGCAGAGATCTGTGGTGGGTTCCCTCTGCAAGAGCAGGTGTCCCACACTGAGGAACCCCCCTGGCTCAAGGCAGCAGCTTGGAAGAGGATCCAGGATGGGAGGTGGCTGTGTACACCCGCCCTGTGGCCACAGGGGTGTAACTTTAGCATTTGATCATGCTTTTCCTTCCAGAGCTAGACAAGAACGTTTTGTCCATTGGTCACCTGTTCTCATAGCTGGGTTACCCAAATAGCAGCTCATGTGCTGGAAACAGAAACTCTTGGAGCTGTTCTATATAAGAAGCTCTGTGTCTGCTCAGGGCACAAGGCAGCTGGTGCTTGAAGAGCCAGGACAGCCATTGCATCTCATTCTTGGAGTAATCTAAAGGTTTTTCTTCTTGGGATGGAACTGGCTGGTAATGAGAGACACCAGCCTCTAGTCCTACTCTTGTGAGAATTGAGGCATCATCCAGGTGTGCAGGGCCCTCTCTGCAGGTAAAGGTGGATGCACAAACAGCTGCTGTGTAGCTGCTCCTTTGTGCAGACCAAAAAGCTGAAGGGCCACTGTTGCCTGTGTGTTTCCCAGCACCATTCTTGTATGTGGCTGTTGAGAGTGCTCAGCCCCTCAAGACTCTACCCACAGCCAAAATACTCACCTGTCCTTGTAAGACTTAGGTTAAATGGAGTAGGATGGTTCTGCTCATCTTTTCCTGGCTGTGCCCTCCTTGGAGGGATGAAGGGCCATTAACAGGTTGGTGGAGGATGTCACAGTGCATGATTTAGTCCGTTGCAGAAAATGGTTCTTTAATCAGATCCTCCTTTGCAAAAGAGGCTGAAGGGGCAATACCTGGTGTTGGGTTCCTCTTGGATGAGATTTGTCCAGGGTGGGCTCTGCAGAGGCCATTTTGGTGCAGAGCTCCCAGCAATGCCCCTCACACCCCTCCCTCCTCCGGGAACTGCCTGCAGCCCAGCCCTGCCAGATCAGCCCCATGGCCTGGGGGGCTCCTCAGACATTCCCAGCTCACTGGTGACTCCACAGTGTTCCAGCTGGGGTGTCTGATGGTCTCGGTTTTGGAAGACAGGTGTCTGCTAGGGAGGGCAGGAACCTCTCTTGGAATAAGAATGTAGACTCCCTCCTTCCGAATTATTATAATTTTGAAATCAAGGGTCTCTCAGGCAGAGATCTGGGGATAGAAATAGCAGTTCTTTACTATTATGTGCAACAAGGCCAACAACAATAACTACAGCATTAACAACAAAACAGAACCAAGGACCCTGTGACAACCTTCTCAGCCAAGGCAGGAAGGGATGGAGGAGAGGCTTTGCTTCACAAACCCCCTCGGGCGGGCAGTCCCGGTGCTCCTGCAGGGCTCTGAGGAACACTCAGCTGGAACAGCAGGGATGAGCTGAGATCCTGGGCCAGTGGATGAGGTGTATCAGCAGCTCCACAGCAGTGGCTGGCACTGCCACATCTCAGCAGGACAGGGGGCACAAGGCCCACTGATGAAGAGGGAAGAAGCAGCAGCAGCTCCATCTGGGTGATGGTGAAATTCCCTTCTCCAAAACCTCAACAGCTCCAGCGAAGTGTCCTTCTCCGAAGCCGAAGAAACCTGCCAAACTGTCCCCACCCTCCCTTTTTCCTTCCACCCTGACCCAGCCAAACTCTTTGTGTTTCTCAAGCACCCACTGACCCGCAGTCAGGTTTTCCCCACAATTAATGGGTAAAATTTCTACAGGTGAGCCAGAACTAAAAGAAGGACACCTAACCCCCAACACTGATCCACCTCTGGGGGAGGCTGGCAGGAGTTCTGCTGCTGCTGCTGCTGCCAGAGGCTGATGTGTCAACGGGATCAAAGGAAAGGGAAATCTGTGTTCCTAGAGGTTCCCTGGTCCTTCTGGCTCCACAGAGCCATCTCCTGGGAATTCTTCTCTCTGCATGCTGCTCCATCCCTCTGCTGCCAGAACTGCCATTTGCAGCCTCTCTTGAGTATTTTTGGAAAGGACAGGGGAAAATAAATTATGGCAATTCCTTGCCTTATAGTGAAAAATAATGTTCAGTCTCAGGTGGGAGAGGATAATGGGCTGGTGAGTATCCAAGAGTCTCTCTGTGGGGAAAACAACAGGTTGCTGTAGAGATGTGAGAGGGCCATCACTGTAATGGGAACATATTAAGCTGTATATTCTTCACTTATTTTTGTTTTACTTAAAAGTACATTCCCTATTTTAATTGCTTGCCACTTTGTTTCTCAGAATACAAAAGGTACCTTTCCAGGCTGTCAGCAAACAGCTTCACAGAAAAAAATCATTAATTATAATAGCAGGAAAATGGATCAGAAATCATCATTTAGCCATTTTGGAATGATGAAAGCAGGGATCTAGGGATGGTAAGAGTTTTTCCAAGCAAGATGCCTGGCAGAGGAGGATGGGCTGGGTTGTCCCTGTGGTGACACCATGCAAGAGTGCCTGGGAAGCTCAGTGCACAGCTGGGGTGGCCTGGGGTTTCTGATCCTTCTTGGAGGTGGTGTGTCTGTTAACATAAGGAGCAGGACTGGAGAAATCCAAGCACCTCTTTTCCAAAGGAATGCCTGAGTGGCTTCATTGAGACTTCTAAAAGCTGCTTGCTTGGGATAATACACAGCTGTTCCTGAGCAAAGAATGCTGAATGGCAGCAGGAAGGAAAGGGGAAGGAAACTGCACCATGAGTTGTCTGTAGCTCAAGCCAGTAAAACCAGTATTTTAACCTGATGTTAAAATACTTCACTCCTCTTCAGATGTCCTGTATGCCAGAGGACAAGAATCTGTATCAGTCCAGTGGTACCCATTGTTTCTCAGCCAGCCAGAGCACTTGGTGCTTTGGTTCATTGTTTTAAACACTTTTCACTGCCTGGCACAGGTGACTGATGAAGAGCCACCTGCAGCCAGGTCATTGCTCATGTCCTTTTTTTTGTTTTCTTTCCTTTGAGGGTGAAGCAAAGTGAGGCTTTACCTCAGGTTTTCTATCCATGCTGGTTGGATTTGTATTTGACCTTGGGACCAGTGTGTGGGGCACTATGAACATGACTAATCCTAGCCTTGACTTTCCCCCCAGGTCATCATCGAACGCTACAAAGGGGAGAAACAGCTGCCAGTGCTGGACAAGACCAAGTTCCTTGTCCCAGACCATGTCAACATGAGTGAATTGGTCAAAATAATCCGGTGAGTGGGGTGGTCTCAGCTGGCATGTTGAGAGCCTGTCTTCACCCACAGGCCCACCCAAGCAGGGTGATGGGGTGAGGGGGAGGCAGAGGCAGCTGCTGAGGGCAGGGATGGGGATGTGGCAGCTGCAGCATCCTGGTGTATGGAACAGACTGTTGAGGGGGGCCAGGCAAGGGCAGGCTCTTAGCGCCTTGTGAAGGGCTGGGGTCTCTCCCTCAAGGGAGCAATGAAGGGGTCCTATCCCCTCTTTTTATTCTTCAGCTCAGAGGGAAGAGGCCCGTCCGCTTTGCTCTTGCCAGTAGCACTTGGAGAAAGGGGCTTTGAAGAATCCTTGGAGGCCTTGGAGCCTCAAGCAGCTCAGCTGGACTCAAGGATACCATGTCCTAAGCGGTGGGAGGAGGTCCTGAGGAGGCCCTAGCTGTGCAGGCCTGCCCCAAGGGAGAACAGCATTGCTGGGGAGGTGGAACTGGTTATCAAGGCACCCACCCCAGGTGGGCTGACCCTGCCTCTCCTGCCCTTTCCCCCACAGGCGCCGCTTGCAGCTGAATCCCACCCAGGCGTTCTTCCTGCTGGTGAACCAGCACAGCATGGTCAGCGTGTCCACCCCCATCTCAGAGATCTACGAGCAGGAGAAGGACGAGGATGGCTTCCTCTACATGGTCTATGCTTCCCAGGAGACTTTTGGCTTCTGAGGGCTGCTGGGAGGTGGCATGTGGAGATAGATGAACTGTGGCACAGAGGCCCCTGGCCTCAGAAGACAACACAGCCAGAGGCTCACAAGAGGGGGGCTGTGCTGACCCCCTTCCCCTCCCTCCCTCCCTCCTCTGCCCGTCACCCTGTCACCAAAGAGGCTTGTGGCGCGTGTTGGACTCGCACAACCCTTCCCTCTGTGTAGGTCAGTCCCGCTCCCCCCCGGCGCCCGCCCAGGTGTGTGACACCCCCCCCGGCCGTGCAGACCCCACACGGGCCTGGCCCCGTGTCCCCGTGTCCCTGTGTCCCCACGCTGCTCTCGCTGTGCTGTGTGTGCTGTGCTGCTGCCAGACCCGCCAGGCCACCGTCACCCCAGCACAGGGAGAGCCACCTCTCCCCCAGGCACTCATGAAGGGCAGGAGGTCTGCAGAAGCAGCTAACAAATGTTACCATTGCTCCCGAGTTTTAATTGATTTTAATTACACCCGTATCAGATTCTTGGTGCTACTGAGTAGATGTAGGCGTCTCTATAGGACTGTGGATAATGTATATCCTTTGGATTTATTTTATTGGTTTGTTTGTTTGGGTTTCTTTGGTTTTTGGTTTTTTTTAGGGATAGATTGGAATGGGGAGAGGGGGAAACTTTCCTGTATTCTGTAGGTAAATAAATCAGGCTTCATTGCACTTTAAAGCATAGTAGATGTCAGAGTGGAAGTTTCTTTTAATTTATACAGGTTTGCCATCTATAGTGCTGCTCCTCTGTTGACAGTTGTACCTAGATTATCTTGTTTCTTTTGTTTTTTCCTAATAAAATTGATTTCCCTTCTCTCTGTCTCCCCATTGCATGCAATTTTTCAGTCTCAGTGTGTCAAGGAGTTTACTGAAGGAATATACTGATTTATATTTGCTGTGTTCCTGTCCCTGTTTCTCATGTATTATACCAAAAAAAATGTATATGATAAAATCCCCCCCAGTTTAATCTATACAAAGGTATATATACATATATATATATAAATATATATATAAAATAAACATAAATTCAAGTTGTGTCTTGTAGGAATGTTCTGTTCCCATCTCATTTGTCCGTGTTAATGTCTCTGGTACCTCAAGTGTGATGTGTGTTCCCCATGTTCACTGCTGTGTGTGTGTGTATCTGCCCAGGCTTCTGAGCTGGTCAGTCCAAGCTGTGGAAAAGCAGCTGGTTGGGACTGAGGGGCAAGATTGGCTTAGAGAACAGAGCACTGGATAGTGACACAGGAAACATGGTTTTCCTTGCCCTACCTGTGGAGTCTCTTGTCCTTTGACTAAGCTTCCTCATCTAGGAACAAAAACTTGAGTTGGAGGCATCTGTAAGTTTGTTTTTAAGGGAAACTTTGAGCAATGCAGGAAATTGTGGCTCATCCTGAGCACTCCATTAGATTTGTTCTCCAACCAAAGGCAGGGGCTGGTGGTCATTTTGCTGGTCTGTGTCTCCCTGCTCCTCAGCTCACTCTACTTCCTTTGCACCGCACAGCAGAGAAGGGTTTAGGTGCTGACAAAAGTTAGGGCTTGCCTGAGTTGCAGCTGACTCTTGTTTCTGTCCTACACCTGCAGGCAACCCTCAGTCCAGGAAAGGAGCTGGTGTGAGGGACAGTTCCAAGAGTGCTGCAGGAAGATGTTGGAAGCCAGCTAGAGCACAGCTCCTGGCAGAGTGTAGGTGAGAACAGCTGCCCTGCTGGTCCTGGCAGCTGGAGCAGATGTGGATGTTGCCCCTTGCACCAGCCTCATGCTATTTAAACTCCAGTCCCTGAGGGGGGACTCTCCCATCCACCTTCCTGTGGGATGGGTGCTGCTGGGCCAGCGGCCCCAGGTCTGGAAGGTGGAAGATGCTAAAGGAGTAGCAGATGTGCTCCCAACAGCTCCATGCCTGTCCTGTGCTGGGACCCCAGGGCTGGAGGCAGCTCTGCAGGTGAGGTCTCCCCTGAGTGGGGCAGAGGGGCAGAATCCTTCCCACTCCTGCTGCCCACACGGAGGACGCAGAGGGGATTCTGGGTGCCAGCACACATGGCTAGGACAGGTCCACCTTCTCATCCACCAGCATCCCCAAGTCCTTCACTGGGCTGCACTTTTTGCTTCCCATGTGGTATTGTCTTGAAGGTTTGACCACTTCCAGGATCTCTCCTCTTACTCTTTTTCAGGCAGTTCTTTGTTGTTCTCTGTTCTTCCACTCTGTCCTTAGCTACCAGTTGTCGCACTACATTAGGAACAGCGAAAGTACAACACAGACTCTCTAGCTTTGGTTGCAAATGAGAGCAAGTTTTATTCTTCCAGATCTTCTTTTACAGACAATTCTAAGAAGGTCCAAGAAGGTAAACCTCTCATTGGTCATTAAACCAACAAACCACCATCATTGGTCACTTAGGCGACAAACAACACCTGCAAAGGTGGTTCTCCTTCTCTAGGGATTGTTTGGACTTCTCCTTATGATTTCTCAGGCCAGAGAGAGAAAGTTGTGTGACTTAGTTTCACACAAGCTCAAGCTAATGCCTGAAGCCCAAAAATCTCTTATTTGACCATTGTCAGTTCCCACACCCAGTGAGTTGTAAATAAAGGTAACAACTCAACCCTGGGGGAGTCTCTCTCCAGGGGCACACAGCAGCCCTGCTCATTCTAACACAGCTGAGTTTATCTATTCAGCTGGGATCTGTATGGCCTGGCTTCTCATACCTGCAGGTTCTCATAGGTCTCTGAAGGGGAATGCTGCTGTCTTGTCCCCTCCTGTCTATGTGAGAGATGAAAGTGGGCCCTTTCCTTGTCCCTCCCACTCTGCTGTCCTTTCATGTCCTTTCATGTACAGCCTTCAGCAAGTGCTGTGTGTTTTGACACAACCAGCTGCTTGGGCTTTCTGTGGGCTGAAACCTCTGGGCATTGATTTAGGCATTGCTTGACTAGTGGATGATACACGTGCCAGACTGGCTTCAAGCACTGACCAAAACTGATGGAGCCAGCCTGACCCAGAGCTGAGCCATGCAGCTTTTGTGGCACAGCTCTGATGTCAAACAGTGAAACCACAGGGAAGGAGGAAGCCAAGGTTTCTCTGGGTACAGTGGAATGCAGGTGAGCCTGCACAAGGGTATTATAGGGCAGAGCACTAGCAAGGAAAGATACAAATGCAATGCTGATCATTTCCCTCATGACAGAGGAGAGGGTGAAGAACTGAGGATGAGTTTGACAGTTTCAGAGGGCACTTTCAGTCCCCATCTGTCTCAGCACAGATCCTGATGCTGGTGTGTTCATCTTGAGGCCACCCACAGTGATGCTGTGCAAGAGCCTGGGGTGAATGTGCACTGCAATGGGGCTGTGCTGAAAAAAAAGCCACTTCCACATAGGTCCAAGATTGCAGAATATTTATTCCATTTGATATGGTAAAAACTATCCTAGCTGGCTGCCCGGCTTGTCAGCATACTTTTAAGTGACCAGTCACACATAAAGGACATGTAAAACAAGGAAAATGGTCTGTGGCAAATGGATTATACAGGACTGTTACCTTGAGTCCATGGGTGTGGACATGATTTTCTGAGCCTGAGAGAGTAGGGGAAAAGTTCCTGAGAACAGCTGAGCTCCTGACAAGCTGAAACTCTCTCAGGCTCAGAAAATTATGTCCACACCATGGATGTGGATTTATCTGTGAAAGCTGGTTGCTGTATCTTACACTGCACACCAAAGCTGATCCCCATCCAGCCACAGTGTCCAGATACCCCTGCACATCTGTACAGGCCCCTGTGTCACTCTCCCAGCACCGCAAGCTCTGTAAAGCACCATGTCGTGACAGGTGGGCACAGCCAACAGTGTCACAGGGATGGGCAGGAGTGTTTTCTGCAATTTCATGGGGCCTGGAGGCCACTGCAGTCCCGGTCTGTGGGGGGTGGCAGTGTTGGGTACCGCCTGGCACTGAGCTCCAGCTGTCCCACAGCCTCAGCTCGGTCCTACACCTTCCCCAGAGGTCCCAGCCCATGCTGCTGATCCTCTACTCTCACATCTGGCTTTAGCACTCCTCACCATAGAGAAACCCCCTTAAGTCCTGAATAGCATTCACTACCTTTAAGCAGACAAACCCAAATCCTCCACCCTGTCTCCATAATGGCCCAGAGAGGGCTAGGGGTGTAGGAACAATACCTCCTTGTCTTCTCTCTCCTGGAAGCTGGGAATACAAAAGACTTGTAGCTGACCCTGTATTATACTGCAGGTTTTGAAGATAAGGCAGAGGACTTCCAAGTCCTCACTGTTCTTTCCTTATCACACAGCCTCCCTTTGCTATTTGCCTTAACCATGTTTCTCCACATTCCTCTTCAACCAATCCTTTCCCAGACTAAATACCGTATCACCCACTCTGGGCACGGGTTGCCGAGACCCTTTCTCAGCACCTCTTACTGCTCCCTCTGAGCATCCAGGTCCTTAACTACCTCTGGGAGAATATGTCAACCATCTCAACAGTCTCCCAAAGGACCCTTCAGAGGTATTTTAGGATCATCATCCCTATAGTTGAGACCCCTTTTTGACTTTCCTTTTGGTTGCCCACCCTTTGTGTCCTGCCATATTTTACTCCCGGAAATTGTACTCACCAGTGAGATTTGCTGAGACCCTTTCTCAACTTTCCCTTACTGTCCCCTCTGGACATCCAAGTTCAGTGGTCTTTTCCTTTGGACTCCTCACAGACCCCGCTGGACTGTCTTCTGGACAGTCTTGGGTACCCAGTCAATTGCCTGGTGCTGGCCAACGACAAAGGGAGCTGGTCACCAAAACTGGGTGAGGCACACCTCCAGCTCCTCTTGCCATTTGCCAGACCCAGACAGTGGAAGGATCCTGGACAGGTCCCCAGTTGCCAGGAAAATCCACAAATGCCACAGGTTTATGTCCAAAAAGGAGACAGAGGAGTCCTTCAACTTTATTTGAATAAAGGGAAAGAGTCCATCAGGGCACACACCTGCAGGCTTTTCTCTCTCTCAAGGTTTCAGAGGGTGCAGCCTCCTTTTATCCTAACTCCTGGCTGCATGTTGCCCTCTTCCTTTGCCCATTGGCTAAGACACTAGGAAGGTACAGCCTTCCTGAACCACCTACCACATACTCCCCCTTTGAATCTGTCACTTCACCCCAAAGTTCAGAAGCTCAGGCTTATGCTGACCCATTTGTCTGTTTCAGGAGACAAGCTGTCTGGGCTCTCTAACAAACCTGCTGCCCAAGTTTAGTAGACACATTAAGTTCCATTGCAAAGACATTAACACCCATACCTTCACAAATCAAATTGTTTGTAAAGACATTAGCTTTCCTCTCATCCTTTTGACCTTTTTCCCTTTTCCTTGTAAATGTGTTGAGCTTGTCATCAGTGGGAGTCCCTGCACCAGCCAAAGGTGACAACCTCCAACTGACATGGGTTGCCTGTAGACTCCAGAAACTCTAACTGCCACCCCCACAAGAGGTTTCTGCGCAGGAAAGAATTTCTTCCTCATGTTCAGGTGGAACTTCCTGCTGAAGGGTTTCTGCCTGTTTCCCCTTGTCCCATTGCTGGATAATGCTGCACAGAGCCTGGCTCTAGCCTCTTGGCACCCCCTCTTTAGATATTCACCCAGCACAGGGACAGCAAATGCTTCTGCAGAGCTTCTGGGGCAGCTTGGTCTGAGGAGGATTCCCTGTAAAATTGGCTTGCAGCATGGCTGAGGCTGTAGAAGGGAAAAGGATGGGACAGGTTACAGCAGGGAAAATGAGCAGATGCAGTTTGGCCTGGTTTGGAGGAAGCACAAGCAAGGAATTAGGAGTAAACTCTTTATTGATTGAGCAAGGACATGAGGTTTGCTATCCGGAGGGTCTTCAGCTCTCCTGCCACACACAGACGACCTGTGGGTGCACTGATCTGCGCCGTGCTCCAGACTGGGCAGGGGGCTTCAGACCCTCCGGAGAGACAGGCTGTTGGGAAAATGATGGGTCCACAGAGGGGAGAGTGTTCTCAGCAGCACAGCTCTCTTCTCTGCCTTGGGATGTGGCTGGGTTTGGGACAGGTCATTGAAAATTCTCTTCAGTGGTCGGTACAGCCAGACACTTACAAATCTGCCCTAGTACAGACTGAACGATCTGATTTGCCGTGGTCTTTGCATCTGAAGTGTTGTCTGAGGTTGTTGGATTCACTTCTCTCACCAAGCTCTCCTTCAATGTTGCAGGATCCTCAGGCTCCATGGGTTTGGCATTTCCAGTCCCTTCTGCTTGGAGCTGTGGTCCTAAAGGAGGTGGCTTTCCTCCTGTGCTTTCTTCCTGGCCCTGTTCTTCAGATGCTCCAGAGATTCCTGGCTGCATTTGTCTGTTGGAGACTTTACCCTGGGGAAACTCCAGAATTTCATTGTACTCACAGCTGGAGTCTCCTTCAAACTGAAAAGCTACCATGGTTGTCAAGATGCAGTGAACATTCTTAACAACTTGTCTGGTGAGTTTGTCAAGGCAAACATGTGTTCTCTCTGTTTCAGCTTCCTTGATTATGTCTGCTTGGGTGGCTCCTTCATCAACAGGCTGCTCTTTCTGCCTGGCTGTCCTCCCTGACTCAGAAGCTTTTGCCTGCAGAAATTCCCCCAAGCTCTCCAACACCATTGCTAGAAGCTCCTTGGCTGCCATTTCCATTTCTTGACAGCGGTCTAGAGGTTCCTCTTCAGGCTCTGCTCTCATGCAGCTGCTGAAAATGCTTCCCCTGATCCCCTGAGCAACCTTCTTTAAAAAGGTGATACGCTGGTCCTGAGGAATCTTCAGCCTCGCAAACACTTTGTATATAATGATCTCAATCAGCTCTTGGAGCTTCTGAGCTTCTGCTGTGGTCAGCTGCTCAAAGACAGCTTTAAAGAAGCTGTTAGCAGTTTTCTCCAGCTTCTTCTGGAATTCAGCTATGGAGTAGGTTTGGCCCTTGTCCAAATCTTCTTTCTCTTTTCTGAATGTCTCTGATTTCAGAGGGGTCTCTTTGCTCTTTTGTAGACATGTGAAAGAAGATTTCCGAGACTGCGGCCACCTCTCTGCCTGGTGGGAAGTGTCAGTGGTTCCTGGCAGTTTGGGACCATCCTTTAATTTGGCCTGAAAGGTGACACCAGCTTGTGGCTCATGGGCCTGGGCTCTGTCACCAGAGACAACAAGGTGGGTTTGGGTGTTGGGCTGATCAAGAACAGCCCTCTTCAAGCAGGGCTCCCACAGCTCTTGCTGCAGCCTCCTGCTGCTGTCAGAGGGCAGGGCCGTGTGCTGGTGTCCCTGGGAGCAGAAACAGCACCAACCTTCCTCTGGATGGGCAAGCCCCAGTCCAGCCCTTCTCAGCCTGCCCCACACTGCCTGTTCAGCCCTGGCTGGGGGGACATCAGTGCCCCAAACACTGGGGTTTGGGGACACGGCTTGGGGACAGCTCCCCTCCCACTGGGGTCGGGCTGTATCAGGGAAGGCTGTCTGCGTGGCTTGACTGGGCTTGGGATTCTGCCCTCGTCCTTCCATAGGTGGTTTGCACTCTGAAGGAGTTCAATGAGTACATGAGTACAGGGAGTACCTGACCAGGATCAAGTTGCAATCAGATAAGATCTCGGGGCAGAAAAAGGTAGGCAAAGTGTTGTGTTCATGGGCACAGGGCTGTTCAGGGCTGTGCTGCTGGGCTGGGCGCTGTGGCAGGGAAAGGACTCCATGGCTGGGAGCACAGGGCACTGAGCTGGGCACGGGCAGCAGAGCCATGTGCTGGCACAGGCAGTGCTGAGGGAAGCCCTTCTCTCTGCCCTTGTGGCCCACCTGAAGCAGAGTGCTGGCCTGGGCCTGTGGGAAGCCTCAGCATGCAGGGGCTGAGTGCTTGCCCAGGCACCATGAGCCACAAGCTGGTGTCACCTTTCAGGCCAAATTAAAGGATGGTCCCAAACTGCCAGGAACCACTGACACTTCCCACCAGGCAGAGAGGTGGCCGCAGTCTCGGAAATCTTCTTTCACATGTCTACAAAAGAGCAAAGAGACCCCTCTNGCACCCATTTTATTCTTCATTTCCAGATCCCTCAGCTTCTGTTGGCACAATTCCCGTTCATGCTGCCAAAACAGGGAGAAGAAGACTCACTCATTGCCTCCCTTGGTTTGCTTCTCATACCAGATCTGGACTCCTGCTGCAGGGGCAGGCACGTGCTGCCCCCCTCTCTCTCTGCCTCTCGGGCTGCTGCAGACCTTGGCTGGGCCCCCCTTGACGCTGCCTCTTTCCCAGCTCGCTCAGCCCATCCCAGCTTCCTTTCTGCCCGTCCCCGACCTCTGGCAGCTCCACTCCCGTGTTCCTTTGGGCACGAGCTGCCAGAACTGCAGCCAGGATTTCAAGTCAATGCTAAGCAGGATTTAGGCAGTGCCATGAGGATGTGCTCTGCATCAGGAAGGAAGAGCAAACATCCTCAGCATTTCATTCCAAGGCCTTGGGGCAACAGGAGTGGTTTTCAACTGTGCCATCTGTAGAATAGCTCAATGTGGTAATGCCTGTAATGCAAGAGGCTTTAACAAGTTATGGTTTGTGTGTTGCTCCTGAGAAAGTACAGCGGCAAGCTCCCTGGAAGTATTTAGGAGTGAAAACTTCAGACCAAACTGTTGAACCTCCAACGGTGACTGTTCAGCATTCTATACAAATATTGAATGACTTGCAAAAATTGTTAGGTGCAATTAATTGGATCAGACCGTTTTTGGGATTATTGAACGTAATGTTGGCACCACTTTTTGATTTACTAAAAGGTCATCTTTCCTTGTTATCTTCCAGGAGCTTGTTACCAGGAGCACTTTGAGGCATTAAAGCAAGTAGAATTAGTAATGCAAGGGAGAAAAGCCTGGAGAGTGCTTACCACCATACCTCTCAGTGTATACATTTTACTGTCTCAGGACATTCTGTAGGCCTCATAGCCCAATGGCATGACAGTTGGCAGGATCATTTGCATTTTTTAGAATGGGTATTTCTGTCATATCAATGCAGGAAAACAGTTACCATCCACTTAGAGCTGGTTGCTCATGTAATTTGTAAAGCCAGACAATGGGTGTGTCCAACTATCAGCGCCAAAGCCAGCCATTATGACTGTACCCTTAACCTTTGAATACTGGACCTGGTATATGGCCAATAGTTCTGTTTTACAAGTAGCCATGGTAGAGTTCCCAGGAAAAATATAATTCCATCACTCTGCACATAAATTTTTGTGACTGCATCTCGAATTGTAAATTGTGGAATCATTGTTGTATTCATTGACCCCCTTACAAGGGCACATGGTTTTTACTGATGGATCAGGGCAGACTGGAAAAGCAGTTGTCACCTGGAAGGAGGGAGATCAGTGGCATGACCTTCTAGACCACCAAGACGCTAAAACCATCATGGCATAGTTTATGCCAATGACCTGCACCATTATACATTCTTCATGTTTGTAGTCATACTAACTTTCCTGTGTTCATTGCAGAAGGAAACACCCATGCAGATGAGCTGACAGCCCCAGTGTGGGCTGCCCTGGTACCAGGTACATTACAACAGGCTATTCAGTGACACCAATTTTTGCATCAAGGGGCTTGTGCCCTATGACATCAATTCCATCTTACATCTGCAGCAGCACATGATACCATTGCCTCATGCTCTGATTGTCAGCAACATGTCACCATGCCTCAGGATGGAATGAACCCCAGAGGGCTACAAGCTCTTTGGCTATGGCAGTCTGATGTTACTCATGTTTCAGAATTTGTACACCTCAAATATGTACATGTTTCTGTGGACACTTATTCTAAGGCCTGTTGGGCTTCTGTACATGCAGGAGAACAGGCAAAATATGTAGTTTTGCATTGGCATAGTGCTTTTGCAGCCTTTATATGGTGTAAAGACTGATGATGGTCCTGGTTATGTAGCTCAGTGCACCCAACAGTTCTTGCAGCTTTGGGGTGTTCACTCTGGTCAAGCCATCAGAGTGTTTTCATTTTACACTTAAAGATTTCCTTCAGAAATAGAAAGGGGGAATGCAAGGTGAAACCCTGCAGGCAAGAGTTTGGAAAGATGTGTTTACACTGAACCATCTTACTATTCCTCCCTCGTGTACAATACCTGTTATTCTTACACATTTTTTGTTGTTACAGTCTTCAAGTGACAGGACCCATAGCCCTGCTCCAGTCTGGGTTCACAATTTGCAAACAGGAGCCTGGGAGGGCCCATGGGATCTAGTTACTTGGGGACCTGGATATGGCTGTGTCTCTACAGATGCTGAAGTTTTGTGGTTGTCTGCTTTTGACCTGCGTTGGATAACACCCCTTGGAGCAATGAACCTGGCTGTGGCTCACCTGACTCCCTGGAATAGCAAAAATGTTCAGGTGATAGGAATGTAGAGCCTCTAGCTTACTTTTGCATGTTACTTTAGAAAATCATGTAACTACTAAATTCCTGCTAATATCTCATAGGCATAGGTGTGTAAAGACTTTGATGATTTGTGCTGTGTGAATGAATCAGGGGCATTTCACAGATGCATTCCAGAGCTAATGTGAATTATATAAGAGCTGCTTTGTACTGTGTTTGCTGTCTTTTCTGCAAAGGTCCCTGCAGAGGAAGGTAAACACAGCATTTTCAATTTAAAAGAAAAGGGGGAATTGTGGTAAAATGGATTATGGGACATTAGGAATGGCGCTGCAGCCAGCCTCATCCCTAATGGGCTGCAGCTGTGTAAGACAGGTGAACAGCACTGAAGGAGAAGAAACTGGAATGCTGATGTGTATTTACAATCACAAAAGAGTAAAAGGGCATGCAGGTGTTATGCATGTAAGAAGGAAGGCATAACAAGTTCTACTGGAGAATAATAATCGCTTATGCTTGCCACTATTTTCAGCATCAGTCGTGTCTGTCACTCGATTTCAGAAGCTTTGGACTCCCGATGATTCCCTAAGATCTCAATCACTGTCACTACAAGCTCCTTGGCCACCATTTCCATTTCTTGATGGTGGTCTAGAGGTGTCTCTGTTCTCACACAGCCACCAAAAACTGTTCTTCTGATCTTCCGGGCAACCCTCCTTAAAAAGCTGACATAGTAGTCCTGAGCTTCCCAAAGTCTTCAGGCACGACAGTCTCAATCAGCTCTTGGAGCTTCTGGGCTTCTGCTGCGGTCAGCTGCTCCAAGACAGCTTTAATGAGGCTGTCAGCAGTGTTGTCCAGCTTCTTCTGGGAGTCAGCAGCAGTGCTCAGCTCAGCTCTGGAGTAGGTTTGGCCTTCATTCAAAGCTATTTTCCCTCTTCTAAATCTCCCTGATTTCAAGGGGGGGTTGGGGTGGGTCCCTGCCCTTCTGTGGAGCAAAGAGAAGGCAAGAGGTTTTCGGAGGCTGCAGCTGCCATTCAGCCTGTCAGGTGGCCACCCATGGGCTCTAAGGACCCTGAGGAGGTGTCAGCATGACCAAAGGGGAAGCGCTACCTTGGCTCCACCTGGCTGCCAAAACATGCCAGTGCTAAAGCTGCTGTGTCAAGGCTCTGCAATCGGGTCACTTTTTCACCTGTTTCAGATCATATAAACAATACCTAATATTGCAATATTACATATTGCTTATATAGCGATAACGGATAACATGCCACCAGTGTCCTGGTACTGGATTGGGCCAGAAATTACAGTATTGAGTGTTTTTTTCATACACTCTACTATCCCAAGGGAAATGTGGTGGTGCAGTGTGCAAATGGTTTGTTAAAACATTTTCTGAGAACACAGAAACCTGGATGGAATGAAAGGTTACACCCTGTGTCAGATAAGTAACAATAGGGATCAATGGGCAGGCCTGTACCTCTGGCTTTCTTGAGCCCCAGATCTTTCAAATGAGGTCCAAAGAATAAAACTGAATCCTTTCAGGACAATACAAATGTGGGACAGCCAGTCATGGTCAAATTACCCCTAATTCTGTTTGTACTTAGGACTCATAGCAGCTGTCCAAGGACCACTCTCACAGGTGGCTACTGACCCTAGTGGCCACCGAGACAGAAACAGTTCCAGATGTATATTGCCTACATTCTAATTTCTGAAAATGAACCAGTTTCTCTGGTGCATCTGCCAAGCTACCTTAGTTTATTTTACAGTTCAATGACTGTTATTGGTCATCATCCAGATGGCAACACCCAAAACACTGCCATGGATAGCAGCATCCTTCAAATGCCTCAGAGGCCACCCTAAGCTTGGGCTTGCAAGCCCAACAGGTCACATGGGCCAATCTGTAACTCTCTACAAGATGCCCTTGTCTGCAGCTCACAGGTGGTCCTGCATCAGGCAGAAGTTTCAGAAGCCTACAGAAAACACAAACAAAACAGAAACACAAAACATGGAAGATCACTGGTCTCACCCTGAACCTAAACCACTGTAAATCAAAAATGATAAAACTAGTTAAAAAACCAGGACACACCTTGTGACCTTGTGTATCCTGGAGTGTGCAAGGGTGCCTAGCATACTCCTATCTAAATCAAATGTCTAAACTAAAGTATCTAAAGTAAATATCAAAACCACTGTAAAATTGCCCCCAAATATCTCACTGATTGGGCCCCAGGGAGTAAAAACAACAAATATGGTCTAATACTGCTTGGTCCTTGAAGAGAGAAGAAATGTCCATGCAAACTGAGGTGACAGCTACCATGAGGCAAAGATTGTCTGCACTCATGGGGTGGGTGTAGCAGGATGTGTGCTTGAGCTGGGCTAGCGCAGCTCAGACTTTGTCTTATTTACAAGTTATCAGCGATGGACTGAGCAAGGAGGCTCTGCTGGTTTTAGTGCTGAAAGGTGCTGAGACCAAGTACCTGAAATTAGACCTGAAGTAGCACAAAATTAGATGGGTGCTTCCTGACCAAGGCTGGCATCAACAGGGGCCTGCAGACCAAGACAAGGAAAAGTCACAAGTGTCAAGTAGAAGAAATGAAAGAGCTAATAACTTCTGTTTCAGCACTATTTTGCTGAGCAGGCATGACAGCACCTGAACTAAAATCATGTCTGACTGACAGTCAA